CCAGCCTGAACTGCACAGCGAGACCCTGTCTCAAAAAGACAAAAAAAAAAAAAAAAAAAAAAAAAAAAAAAAAAAAAAAAAAAGAAAAAGAGTTAAGCTACTAATTCTCCATCTAGTATCCTAAATTCCACGCCCAAAGTACACAATAGGTATGAAAAACAAGGAAAATTCCTAAGGTGACATAGAGAAATAAGCTCAATTCTCTAAGACAATGATAACATTTGTAACCTAGAAATATAGCATTTGAATAATAGGTAATTAGTGATCAAAGAGGAAGTAGTAGATAAGTTGGTGGCAGTGACTTCATTAATACAAACTTCTTAATATACTATAATACCGACTTCTTAATACACTATATTACAGAATTCTTAACATAGCATAATACTGATTTCTTAATACACTATAATACAGACTTCTTAATATACTATAGTACTGACTTCTTAATACACTATAATACAGACTATTTAATACACTGCAATGCAGACTTCTTAATATATTACAGTACAGATTTCTTAATATGCTATAATACTGATTTCTTAATATACTATAATACAGACTTCTTAATACACTATAGTACTAACTTCTTTTTTCCTTTTTTTTTGGTTTTTCTCCAGTACCAGGAATCAAACTCATGACCTTGTGCTTGCCAGGCAGGCACTGTGCGGGTGAGCTAAATCCCCAGCCCCAATACTGACTTCTTAATACACTATAATATACTTCTTAATATACTAGTATACTGACTTCTTAACATACTATACATAGTAAATCATGTTAGTCCTGATACTCAACTCATAATTTATTGGTTAATTCCTTCTAACATTTTTATAGCTATGAATTACACCATAAAAGATATTATGTTATTTATATATGTGGTAATATAAAATCTGCATTTAAATGTGACCTTGAAAACCTTCCAAATTACATTGATTATTGATTAATAGTCTTGAAACTATATCGGAAACAACACTACCTTGTTGGATTTTATTTTTACTTATGGTTCAAATTTCTTTTTATGTTTTATCTAAGTTCCAGCTTTTTTTCTGATTTTTAAAAATTACTTTTTCTATGTAACAAGCGCAACTGAACTCCACTTTCAATTCACATTTACTTTTATAATTTGGTGGAAATATACATATCAAATAATACTTTTCAGGTCCAGAATTTCTAAGTTCTTAAATTACCCCGACTACATTGTGATCATTCTACTGTTCTTTAAAACCCTTTCCAGTCCCCTCTTGGACATGTCTTCCCTGAAGTCCTGGAAAATTAACCACACAATGTAATCTAGGTTGGAGTTTGGGTTTCTCCTGCATTTCAGATACTGATATCTGAGCCTTAAAGAGCCACTGTTACTCTGAGGTTTTATCTAGCGGATTCGTGTCTTTTGGGCTCATTAAGAGCATTTCCAAAGATTACAATGTCAATAGCACCTAATTACTGGTCTGTGAGAAAGGTCTTCTTGAGTACATAAACCCAATGGCCGCTCAGGGGGAGACAATAGGTGGCTCAGATTCCGAATTTTATCACACGTAAATAGCAAACAAATTAATAATCTTACCTATACTGTCTTGAACTAATTACTACTGTGTAAAAACTTGCAAATACTTTTGCACCCTTATATTAAACAGAATTTATTTATCTCTTAAATTTTTTTATTGTGGCACCAATGACTGTGGTACTCTTTAGAATTTTTCAGGGTATGTAACATAAGAAAAAGCCATTTTCAAGTGGCTTTTAAATTATATTTTTAAAAGGATATATTTGTTTTAAATTATATTTTAATTTACTTTTCTCCAGAATTCTGTATGTTTTGATATTAATGCTGGGTTTGACTTTTACTCATGCCTGTAGAACATCAGAGATTAAAAAAGCACAGGAGAGACTAAGACTATTCTTAATTTACAAGCTCAGTTCTTCTGGCATCATTGAACTCCCATGGTGGGTGAAAAGTAGATTTGCCAGAGTTTGTTCTGGGATTATATTAGCAACAGTTCAGAAGAAAAGTAGACGGAGAGGTTAGCAAGCTAGCTGCATGTACTATCTCATTTAATCCTTGGGACAAGCCCATGAGGTGGGGTTTACGTAGCAGCAGGCCCTGAGGGGCGGGTACCTAGGGAGTGAGCAGATCCTTGGGATCTGTCCACCCCACAGCCCACTGCTTTGTGACATTGTCACAGCTTGTGTTTTCGTGTGTGAGGTCATCATGAGGTCACCAGTGCTCTAGGGAAGTCGATCTAATTGAGTGCGGATGGCACAGGTCTTCTGTGGGATTTGGAGAGCTCTGCTGCACTATGTGCAGTATAGCCTGGCATTTTACTGAACCTCACTGTCATCAATGATCTCATCTGTAAAATGAGAAAAGGCCAGAGGACCTGTCTCATAGCGTTTTGGTGAGAATTAGAGCTAAAGCCCCAGGGGCATTTAGAATCTTACCCATGCTCGCTACACATTAGCTATAACACTTTTTTGTTGTTGCTCTTGCGGTATTGGGGATCAAACCCAGGGCCTTCTAACCAAGCTATATCCCCAGTCTCTTTTTATTCTTTATTTTGAGACAGGGTCTTGATAAATAGCCGGGGCTGGACTTGAACTTGTGATCCTCCTGCTTCAGCCTCCCAGAGTGCTAGAGTTACTGCTGTGCATCACCACACCCAGGACTGTGATACTCTTAAAAGTTATTTCGTGGTGTGAAGGTACAACTAAGGACTTTTTTCTTTGATCTAACAATGGGGACTCAGAGAAGATAATGTTCAAAAGGATATTTTGAACATGAATATTATATTTGCATACTTTTAAGAAACGGAACAAAACCAACAGTGACTTTAAAGAGTTTAGTTTGGGGGTCTATTATGAGATATGTTACATCCCCGTTATAGAAAATAATAAGGATTCGTTTGTAAGTCAGATAGATATTAATACCATGCATGTAGCCAACATCTCTTTAGAATGTATTCATGAACACGGGTGACTGTCACGCATACCACACACAAGCCGGGACTATTAAAGGCTGCTTTCTGACCAAGAGATTCTTTTATCATCCTTCTCCACCCTGATAAGTTAGTAATTCACTTTTCCTCCTGTATTCCTTTGTTTTTATTCAATAAAAATATAAATTTTATTCCTAGCAAATTTTGGATGAACTGAGATTAATTTACCAAAAACTTTTGTGAACTGGTTTATTTCCCAACACTATCTTCAGAGGGAAGAACATGATGTGTCAAAGTTGTACTAGAGATTTATTTCTCTTTTTTTTTTTTGCTTTTTGTTTTTGTATTGGAGGTCTCATAGAAAAAAGCCTCAGGGTTCCTTCCATTCAGAGGCCTTCACTGTGGACATTTCCACTTACAATGCAGATTAATATGTAGACTCATGGGCTTTGTGGTAGACTGAAAAATTATGGGTCATAAAAAGCATTCCTATTCAATGTTATAGTAAGGAAAAAGGGAAACTAATGAATCTAGGGAGGATTTTCTGAGATAGAGTGGAGATAACTACATTTTGCAACATCAGGGACAAGAAATAGGAGAGTTTGTTTCAGCAGGGGTCACCTCCTGTCAGGTGCCCCTCAGAGTTCTTTGTGATACTTCAACTGGACCTTTGAAAAATGGGTTACTTGACTGGGGAAAGTCAACTTTGGATGCAAAATACTCAACTGAACTTTAGGGAATGAAATACTGTGGTTAATTAAACTTTATATTGAAAATCTTAGCTAGGCACAGATTCAAAATACCAATTCACATTTTTGTGATTAATCATGAATACATCAAGATGTTTTAGAAATAACTACATTTCTGTATGTGTTGGAACTTCTAACATCTCAACAAATTTGATCAGTTATTTAAATGCTGATACCTTTAAAGATAGTGGCTTCCTGTGCTAGCAGATACATGCTGTGGAGTCTAGTATCAGCAACACTGTAATCTCAACATGAGCTCAGGGAAGCAGCCAGCACTATGATTGCTGAAAGATTTTTTATACCTTTGTAGGCACCTGTCAAACCAGTATTATCCATCATAGAAAAACAATGGACAAATGTTCAGAGGAAAAGGAATTCTTCATATTTCTGCTGAAGGTTGTAAAAAGTAAAACATTTTACTGTGAAGAGTTCTTATCACACACTTCTCCTTTATATAAAGATCCATTAACAAAGCCTACTGGTGAATATTTCCAGATATGACTAGCAAATTACTGATACTCTTTGATTAAGATCAATAGTAACAATTGAAACTAACAATGTCATATTTTGTCAACTTCACTACAGCCTATTATTAGTGGATGTGCTTTAAATGATGAATTTCTCCCAGTCACATAATCACCCTGCCCCTGAACACTCCAAGCTGGATTGCCTATAGTATAGATGACTATGCAGCTACTATAATAGGCTTGTTATCTTGGTTTTCAAAGTTTAGAGAAGAGTCTTACAGACACTTGTAGACAAAGGCTCTCCCAGTTTTTAAAAAATTCAATTTGAAGCCTCTTAAAGGAAATAAAGCTGTTAGAAATAGTTGTACTTTTCTCCTCATTATTCAAGTAGAAAAATAAGAATGTAACAAGAACTTGAGGTTTGCTGGCCATTAAATAAAGATAAAATGAGGCTCCAACGGAGACAGTTTCTGATTATTATAAAGTATGACTAAGTTCACTTTAGTTAGCACCAGTCAGTATTCAGAAACACAACACTAAGTATTCTTTTATTCAGCTTTTCTGTACATTGGTTTTATAAATTGGCTTTTTAAAAAGTCATGTGTTTACTCATGTTACCAAATAAGTATCTTAGGGTGACAAAGGAAAAGCCAAGTTAATCTCGACCAAGCACCCATTCTGTGTGAATTTCTTTTTAAATTATATTCTCACCTCCTTCTCTTCTTCCTTCTCTTCTTCTTCTCCCTTCCATTTCTTCCCTTCTTTTCATCTTTTGTTGTAATGGCAGTAGAAGCCAGGACCTTGAGCATGCTAGGCAAGTGCTCTACCACTGAGCTACATCTCCAGCCCCTTCTTACCTTTTGATGAAGATGCTTGATCATTCATTGTGTCCACATGCCTCTTGTCTATCTGTAGGTAAACCAAAAAGTTTATTGAAGTTGAGTAGTATTGACTGCTTAAATGTTTACTGGAGGAAATAAATCTACCTACTGAAGGGAAATGACTAGCTGGAGGAGATGTGGTATCCGTCAAGTTTGCTTTAGACTGCACAAATAAGGGGTTCGATTTCTGAAAGACATAAAAGGTGAAACAAAAGTCAAATCAAATTGATGTCAGTGTTCTCTACCCTTCAGTCAACCAAGATATGACACTCCTTGACATTCCTAACTTATTTGCTCAAATACGAATGCAACAGGAAGGGTCCCATTCTTTATTCAGTATACAGTGAGAAAAAAAGTCAAGAAAAAAATGTTTTCCTCAGTGTCTCTCTGATTCTACTTCCTTCTGACTGCCCTTATGACTTGGAGTTTACTACAAGTTGGTCCTCTATCTACTGGTTTTGCTTCTACAGGTTCCGACAATTACAGATAAAAAAAAAAAAAAAAAAACAACAAAAAAACCCCAAACCCGAATACTTCTGTTATGGACATACACAGACTTTTCTTCTTGTCATTATTCCATAAACAATATAGTATGACAAATATTTACATTGCACTTAACATTAATTAGACATTCTATGTCATCTTTAGATGACATAAAGATGACTAAGAGTGTACAGGAGGATGCATGCAAATGCTACAATTTTTTTTTATAAAGAAAGTGAGAATTCAAGGATCTTGGTATCTAGGAATCAATTCCCCTCAGATATGCTGGGATAACCATACTTCTAACTGGTGAGGAACCACAAGGTCACCCCCAGCACCACCAAGCTACTGAGAGCTTCAACAATGGTGTCCTGTTTCCCAAGAACTAAACGATAAAAAACAAAAACAAAAAATTCTTGTAGGAGTTCAGAAGCAGCAGCATGCAAACAGAATTGCTACCAACATCATACAGTGCAAAGCAAACTGTGACATAAAAATATGCACGTGAAGCCAGGAATGATGGTGCACACCTGTAATCCTCAGCACCCCAAGGCAGGAGGATTGCAAGTTTGAGCTCAGATTTCACAGTTTAGCAATTTATTGAGAGCCTGCAGCAAAATAAAAAATAAAAAAGGGCTGGGAATGTAGTTCAGTGCAATGGCCTCGGTTCTATCCCCAGTCACACACATAGAGACCCTCCCCATGCACATATATACAAAGCAGGAAAAGAATCAAAGGTTCACTAAGCATGCTTACCAGAAAAAGGTCTAAGGTCCATGTGCATAGCTTGGGACTTATGAGATTTTTCCTATTCAAGGCTTCTCTCTTGTTGGTTTGTATGTAGTTTTATAGTGGTGCATACAGGGTTTTATACATGCATGCACATATGTTTGCATGTTTTTTCTTACTTCCATAACCTGATTTCATTCCCTTCTTGTTCCCTTCCAAAAGAAACTACTTAAATATTTGATATGTACATTTTATTTGAATATGACCTTGCAAAATGTGAAATTTCATCATGTATTTTTATTTATGTTAATGGTATTATGTGACATCCTATCTTCTTGATTCTAAAGTCAGTCTGTTGATATTTTGACACCCCTAAAACTGGGATGCATCTTGCAATAGAAGATTGTCACAGTGTAGTGTGCAGAAGTTTTTCTCTTTTAGTGACATAAAGTCTTGAGCTTGTGTTGAGCACATCTTAGATTTAAAATAAAAAAAAAACATGTTTTATGTGTGCCTTCCTTCAGTTACCAATTGCAAATTTTTAAAGATGCATACATCTTACTATCTGTATGTAGAATCTATTGCTTTCAAGTACTGTATAGTATCCCAGGCAGACATCTGACCAATTTTACCATCTACTTTCCCAAGGTGGTCCAAGCCACCATTATCCCTCACCTGCACCACTGCAATCACTTCCTATCCTGTTTCACTGCATTGGTGCATCCCATTTCTTCCTCATCACTTCCAACATTGCTACTTTAACATGTCACATGAGACCATCTAACTCTGCTTTAACTGTGAATGTGAAAGAGCTACTGAGGAAATATATAAGAGGATGCAGGTGATAACCCTGTATTTCTATATATTTTTATCCTGCCAAGGATGAGAAAAGAATAAAAAAATGGAAACCCTGAAAAAACTGTGGAATAAGTTTAAAAAAAGAGAATTAATCAATCATGGGGAGCATTTACTTTTTAAAATGATCTATTATTTGGTTGCAATGAAAACTTTATAAAACTTTTTCTTTGGTCCCAGACATGAGTACAAGAATATGTGGTTTCCAAGAAACAAATGCAGGAGACTCTAGAAAGGCATGAGCTGAGATGGCCTGCAAAGGTCTTAAGGATGCGATACAGAAAATTACTAGTAAATAGGACACAGGAGTTGAATTTAAATCCAAACAAGACTTTTATTTCTTATTTTCTTCAAGGTAACCATGAACTGATGGTAAAAAAATCAAGAACACTCAGTTCTAAAACTAAATGAAGATGGAAATCCAAGGTTCTTGTCTTGTAGCTCCCTTTTACTGTGAGGGCATTTGCCAAATTAATGGATACAGGCAAGAGTTGTCAAAGGTTTTGTGACTTAGGAAGAACGGAGGGCAAAAACCAGGGCTCATACCAGGTGTCCAGTTTAACAAGACGACCTCACCCACTCTGCACTTGGATCCTCAGTAATGACTGGTGTAATGATACAAAGGGAGCTAAGTGGAAAAGCAAAGCAAAAACTAGAATAGTAGTGAAGTTTTTCTGGACAACTGTGTGTACCAGCTTGCCACAGGGCACTGCTTCATGAATTAAGAAATCTTTGCTACTGATTTATTTTTAGACCAAATATGATAAATTACTGGTTGAAGACACTTAAAAACTACAATTCAACAAAATCCCAATAAAGTCCTATCAACTTTTTTAGATATAGATTTACTAATTCTCAAAATTCATTAATTACTAAGAATAGAGCACTGTCAAGACAATCCTGAAGAAGAAGAATAAAAAAAATCAAAGGATTTATACTGCCTTTTACTATAAAACTATTAAGACAGTGTGTTATTGGCAAACTGATAAATGAATGGAATAGAACAGTGTGTTTAGAAATAGACTCATACATACACACTCTTTAATCTAGAACACAGAAATCAGTAAATTTCAATAGGAAAAGGAAGATCAAAATTATATCACCAGCAGTATATGTGCAGTGTGAGATACAGTCACAGCAATAGAAAATACAATTTGCTTCAGGAAAAGGAGCTAAATTCATATTCATTAAAATTAAAAACTTCTGATCTTTAAAGGATGCTGGGAAGAAAAACTATACAGTGAGAAAAGACATATCCTGAATATATAACAAAATACTAAAACTCAATAACATTTTAAAATGGACACTAGCACAGAGAAAGGCTATGGGGAGTCATTGCTTAATAATCATAGAATTTCAGTTTTGTAAGATAATGAGTTCTGAAGTGTGGCTGAACAATGTGAATGTACTATACTTAACACACAATGGTGGTTGTTATGGTTTATGCCTGGATGTCCCCCCAAAGTCTCATGTGGTCATGAAGGCTGCTGGGCCTTTTGGAGGCAGAATCTAGAGTTCGTAATTGGTTCATTGTCTAGTGCTGGGATGGAGGTATGAGTGCTACACCCTGCTACACCCTGCTACACCTGCTCTAGGGCGGGTGGCCTACATACAGTATAAGGGATGAGAAAGAGGCTTGTTTCCTCCTTTTGCTCTTGTTGCTTTTGTTGTCTTCTGTCACCATGAACAGTTACCCCTCTGCCATGCTACCCTACCTGGAACCAGCTGACTATGAGCTGAAAGAAACCTGTACAAACTGTGAGCTAAATAAGCCTTTCCTTCCTTAACTTTGGGTGTTGGGTATTTTGTCTCAGCAATGAGAGAAAAGTAACCCTAACAGTGGTTAAGATAGTAAATTTTTTACATTTATTTTACCAACATTGAAAAAATATGGCACAGCTCCTTCACTAAAGGTCTAAAAATGGCCAATAAGCACTTGAAAAGATGCCTAATACCAGCAATCATTAGGAAAATGGAAATTAAAGCTTCAATGAGATACCATTTTGGAATGGCTACAATTTAAATACTGACAACATCAAGTTAGCAAGGATATGTAGCAACTGGGACTCTCAATCTTTACTAATGGAAGAGTAAAATGAAAGTCACCTAGGAAAAATGGCAGTCTCTTATAAAGTTAAGCATACACACTTCTGATCCAAGCCAGTCCTCACTTACTTGGGAAATATGAGGATATATTCCACAAATGTTTATCATAGCTTTTTCATAATAGCTCCTAACTAGAAAACAGTTCAGGTGTCTAATATGGGACTAATGAACACATATATTATGTTCTATTTGTACAATAGGATACTAATCAGCAACATAAAGGAAAACTGTGATGTATACACAGAATAACATGGATGGATAAAATACTTCACTGTGTAGAATAGATCAGAGAATACACGCAGTGCTCTGGGGATGTAGCTTAGTGACAGAGCACTTGTCTAGAGGTCCTGGGTTCAAGCCCCAACACCAAAAACTAAATAAATGAATAAAGTAAAAAACCACAGCAATGCTTATTTGGTGGGGAGATGGGGGCACTGAATTGTCTGGAGAGGGATGTGAGAGAACTTTTATGGATCATAAAAATATTCTATACCTTGCTTTGGATGATGACTACATAGGCCAAACCTCAACTGATATACTTAATATTTGTATATTTTGCTGTACATAAAATATACATCTTAGTAAGCAAATGTAAACCTTTTATTTTATAACATGTTCAAATTTTAAATTTAAAGTGTGATGTTTCCCTATAAATGTCCATCTTTCTTACACTATAGGCCAGATACTATTCCAAGCTCTGCAAGCAAAAAGTTTCTAAAACGAACCAGTCTGCTATCTCATGCAATTTGCAGTCTATAAAAGGAGGGGCCATACTTGTCCTTGTCCGCTAATTTATTGCCAGCAGGTAGTATGGTGTTTGGTATAGACTGGTACTCAAGAAGTTTTTGCAAGATGGATGAGTACCCAGAGATCAGGAAACCAAGAGACAATATTGTTGTATTCAGAATTCACATACTGGCTCACTCTCTTTCTCTCTCTGTTTGTTTTTCATATGCTACTTTCCCTGATGAGCATGTCATGTGCCAATATACTGTGTGGGTGTACAGATAAGGATTCATAACTTTGAATTCAGCAAGCAGTGGCACACCACCCTTCCTCCATGAATTGTAGAAGGATTTAAGGATGAGAACAAGATTTTGCTCAAGAAAAAAAGACTGGAACTACTAATCTGCTTGAATAATTTTGATATTTAGAAGTCTGTTTCATAAAACTTTGACAATTCAAATTTGAATCATAAAATTTTGCCAGTGACAAAAACTAAAACATCTGATTTTGAGTGGCACAGCCTTCTCATGCTTCTGCCAATATTTTATTTGTCCAGCTGCTTAAATATCTAAAATAAGGATTACTCCAACTGAATTTGTAGCCATCAAGCAAGAGGAAGAAAAGCCAACAGGGGAAGAAAGACAGTACGTATTCCTTCAGTGTAGACCAACTTTCAAACATTTCGAGGAAGTCAATCATTAAAATCTTCAGCAAGATGCAGATGACTATGAATTTAGTTAAACATACAAATTCATTTAATGTTTTCTTGCCAGTGTACTTAAGTTCTTTGATCTGCAGTCACTTAAATTTAAAAGGTTGTCTGAAAGGGACAAATGTTAAAAGCATGTTTTAAAGAAGTAACTTTTGACTGTATTCCTCTGGAAGCCAAATCCCACATCTTATGTTTCTTGTGCCCTTTCTCACAAAGCTCACTTGTCTTCAGAAAACTTAGCATCATCCAGAAGCTCGCTGAGGTTCATGCCAAGTTATCAGCTGAGACTTACCGTATCTGTTTCTACACCAGGCATCACTTAGCTTTACAAGCAGGACCCCTGAAGGAAAGCAGTAGATCAAACAGGCTAATAATAGCCTACTGCTGAGTTGGACCTTGTCTCCAGATGACCTCCGCTGTGGCTTGGATATAGTTGTGTCCCCCTAAGGTTCACACACTGGAGGCTTTGTTCCTAGAGTGTGCTACTGGGAGGTGGCAGGATTTTTAAGAGCTGGTGGCTTAGGTTGAGGTCATTATGTCTTTGGGGGTGTAGCCCAGGAGATAATTCCCATGGGATCCGTTGAGTTCTCCTGAGAGAGGTACTAATAAGGTGCATACCTGGTTCCTCCTGTTCTCTCCACTTCCTGGCTATTATGGTTTATATCTAGATGTTCCCACAAAGCTTCCTGTGCTCATAGGTGGGGCTTCTGGGAGGTGATTGGATCAAGGGTGTGATACTCATCAGTGCATTAATGTACTGATGAGTTTAGAGCTAAACCTTATGTTCGGAAGTGAAGCCTGATTGAAGGAGGTGGGTCACTGAGGGCGTGGCCCAAAAGGGTCTATCTCCTCCTTCCTCCTCCCTGATGGTTCTTTTTCCTGCCTGCCCTGCCAGGAAGGATTTTTCTCTACCATACCCCCTCTTCCATGCTACCCTGCCTTGGAGCCAGCCAACTATGGACCGAAACCTCTACAAACTGTGAGCTACAACAACTTTGAAACTTTCCTCCTCTGAGTTGTGGTGTTGGGAATTGCGTCTCAGTAATGGGGAAGTAACTAAAACATTGGTTCAAGATACAATCACTTGTTCTAACACATACTTCTATTTTATGCCATGAGATGACATAGTCAAGGGAAAGCCTTTGCCACAAGCCTGTGAATGCTTTTGGACTTTGAATATCTATAACTGTGAGCCCTTTAAAACTCTTCTCTTATGAAGGAGGTTTGTCTCAAGTGTTTTGTTACAGTGATGAAAAGTTAACAAGTACAACATTTAGTATAAAAAATGAGGCACTTAGTACTTATCTCCTTTTCTCCTTCAGAAGTGACTAGATATTTGAGCCTGAATCTTGGATATTTCCCAATATTTTATCCATCACCTAAAATAGACATACGACAGATACTCCCAGCCAGAATGAGCCACTCCTTCTCTGACATTTGCATTTGCCTCATTGATAGCTCAACCATATTGCATTGTAGTGATTTATTTGCATATCTATAACTCATGATGGACTGAACTCTTTGGGTCTAAGCACTTTGTCTTATGCCCTGGCATCTAGTAGAGTGACTGCCATGCATATCTCCAGAGTTTATAATGACAGGAGCTCAGTAAATTACAAATAAGAGCAGAAAAAAAATAGACATATGTTTTTGAAGAGATAAATAGTACCTAAACATTATATGTACTTACAACATAATTGAAGGATGTATCAGCAAGTATTGCAAACTGACGAAACAGTGTGTGCCTGGTAAACATCTCATTCTTAAGTGCATGAAAGCTGAAACAAAAGAAACCATAAAATGAAAAAAAAATATATTATATATCATATAGTAAAGCAAGTAAGTATTACTAAAAGCCACGTCAAAAATGTTCAGTATTACCAAACAAAAAGTAAAAATATCAGGAAGAACTTTTTATTTCTCCCATTTAAAAGAACTTATTAGCCAACCGTGAAAGGGCATAGTAATTATGTCAGTGAGTACTCCTCGCATCTAGACTGTGGGTTAAGAAATATTTCTCACTAAAATGAGCCAGAGCATCTTTCAGAAATGGCTCTTTCTAGATTTAAGGAAATTAGTGTGCAAGATGGGACTGGGGTATTTTACTCTATCAGAAATGAAATCATCAAAGATTGCATCAAAGAAATGCAGCAGACACAGGAAAGGGCTCTCTTGATTTAAGATTCAAGAAATTCAGCATCAAAAATAAAAAGGACTACATTTGACTAAAAGACTACAAATATAGCTCCAATTTAGGAAATTCTCAGTCTGTCCCAGCTGCAAATGCTGCTTCTATCTATTGCCCCCCAGTACGGGGAATCAAACTCACAACCTCACGCTTACCGGGCAGGTGCTGTGCCGCTGAGCTAAATCCCCAGCCTAATGCTGCTAACATTAGACCATTCTGTTAGCACAGAACACTCTGGAGAGGAAGCAAGGGCATGGTGAGATAACTTTTTCCTAGTACCTTGGAAGGAAAAAAAGATAGCAGGAGCTGGCTGGGGGCAGCTGTAGTTCTGTGACAGAACACTTGCCTACCATTGCACGGGGCCTTGGGTCTGATCACCAGCATAAATAAATAAATATAAATAAATTAATAAAATCGCAGCACTCAGTCACATAAAAGTCTCTTTGTAGAGGTTAGACATGTGGCTCGTGAGTTCCCTCAGCTACCTTACTAAGAGTCCAAAATGGAGCTGGGATTATCTAGGAAAGACCAGAAAAGGATAGTTCTATCTAATGGAGTAACTTCCCAGGGCATAGAAGGCAGGACCACAGGATTTTGAGCATGTTATATCAGCAAAAATACTGCTAGTATGGCTTGAGATGACAAAGAAGGCTCTTGGATTCAAAAATTTGATAAGCAGAAACCAACTAATAAAACAACCCAGTTGCAAAGATGTTGTCTTTCATGGGGAAGTAGGAAAACTCAGTGACTGATGCTGTGGGTCTAGAGGGCAATGTCTTGAGTCACAGAGAATTATTTCCAGGCCCTGAAATCTAATGGAGTTTGTCATTCTGGATTTCAACATTGTTTGGACTAAAGATTCATTTTCCCCCCTCTAAGAATGTCTATAACTGTTATTGACATTTATGTCAATGAAATGGCCATCCCATCGTTATATTTGGGAGCAAATAATCTGTTCTATAGCTTCACAAGTCTATACATGAGAGCAATTTTGTCTCAGAATGGATTATAATCAGAGCCTCACTATCTAGTTTAGATCGTGACAATTGGGGCCTTTCAGCTAAGGACACTTAGATAAGACTGTGGAATTAGTTGTCACTGTATAGGGCTGACACTCGGGAGTACCTCAGGATGAGGTGACTGCATTTTTCATGTGAGACAGGCATAAATATTTGGGAGCCAGAAGATTTACTGGCAAGTTGGATATGCCTTCCACCAAAATATCTGCTTTTGGATCTCTGGCCCCTGGGGGGATGTTGCCTAACATAATAAAGGGAACTTTATATAGGTAAATAAGTTAAGGATTTTAAGGCAGAGTGATTATTCAGGACTATCTCTGGGTCTAATTTAATTACCCAGTAAGGAAGTCTTTTTTAGGAAGGGAGCAGGAGGATCAAAGTAGGTAAAGGGGAAGACCCAGTGGTGAGGGAAGCAGAGGCTGGACTGGGATCAGTAGTCTTTAAAAGTTGAAAGAGGCAAGGAACTCATTACCTAGGATTCTTTAAAAGGAACAGTCCCAGCAACACCTCAAAAATTTAACCATGTGAGAATCATTTTGGACTTCTGATCTCCAGAATGTCAGGTAATAAATCTGTGTTGTCTTAAGCCACTAAGGTAGTAGTAATTTTTTACAACAGCAATAGGAAACTAATATCCACCTTTAAGAATCAAAAAATAGGCAAGTGAAATGAATAGACACTTCACAGAGGAAGCACAAAGGGCCAATAAGTGCATGAAGAAATGCTCCACATGCTGGCCACTAATGCAAAATAGAACAATGTGGAGATTCCATCTTACCTCAGAAAGAACGGCCATTCTCAAGAAATCAAATAACAACAAGCGCTGGCAAGGCTGAGGGGAGAGAAGAACCTTCTACACTGTTGGTGGGAATGTAAACTAGCTCAGCCACTATGGAAATCAGTGTGGAGATTCTTCAGACAACTGAACTAGAAATTCCATTTGACTCACTGTTCTCATTCTAGGTATCCTCCCTCAAACAGTTAAAGACATCATATTACAGTGACACAGCAATACCCATATTTATGGTAGCACAATTTACAATAGTTAAATCTTGGAAGCAGCCTATCTACCCAACAGATAAATGGGTAAAGAAAATGTGGCATTTACATGCTTTCAAGTACTACCCTTCCATAAAGAAAGATAAATTTAAGTCATTTGTAGGAAAATGGATGAACCTTGAGGCCATAATGTTAAGTGAAATAAATCAGACACACAAGCTTTGAATTTTGCCTAGTTTCTCTTATATGAGAAACCCAAATTATAAATAAAGAGCAAAATGAAAGATATAAAATAGGAAGTAGGAAGATAGATCTTTCTCCAGAGGGAAGGGGATGAAGAGGTGGAGGGAGGGGGGAGAGAAGAGAGGGGAGATGGGTGAATAAAGGAATGAAGCCGGGCATATAGCTCAAAAGGCACAAGCTCCTGCATGTCAAGTGCAAGGTCCTGAGTTTGATTCCTGGTACCAAAAAAAAAAAAAAAAAAAAAGAAAGAAAAGAAAAGAAAAAAAGAATGGAGGTGTGCTGCATACACAGACCAATTCCACACAAGGAATGGAAACATTATGTATTGCACACATGTAGTAAAAAAAGAATAACATTATGCCAATCATTTTGTAAAACTCATGAGTTGACACATTCATGTAACAATATCACTGAAAAATAAGAAGAAATAGAAGACTTTAATGGTCTTTATTGCCTTTAAACAATGAAATTAAAAAAGGATCAGGGGCTAGGGATGCAGCACTTGCTTAGAACGTATAAAGCCCTAAGGTTTGATCCCCTACACCAAAAACAAAGAAAAAAAAATCAATGGCATAAAATCTGCTCATCAAGACAACCTTTAGCACCAGGCATAGTGACGCACACCTGTAATCCCGGTATTCAGGAGGCTGAGGCAGGAGGATCTTTGGGAGTTCAAGGCCAGCCTGGGCTACAAAGTGAGCTCAAGGCCAGCCTGAACTGGATAGAGAGACCCTGTCTCAAAAAAGACCA